GGTCTATGTGTATGACTTGCAGACGTATAATTTCTGAAAAGACATGAACCATCTCCAACGTGATAGAAGCACAGAACAGACTCACCATCAGCAGAACACCCCTCTGTCACAGAAAGAACACTCATATTCCACTGAGTCGTGTCCTTTTTAAGACGGACAGAAGCTGAACTGCATCAGCACACAATAGTGAGCTGTTTTTTGAGCGCTCAGTTTAATGCAAATTAGCCATGCAGTTTTAAGTTTTGTTTCTGTAAAATCGTAACGTAAACGTAGCTGTGTGGATCAGGAAGGATTGTGGACACAGAAACAACGTGTGTGGACGCAGATCGTTTCTGATACTGTGATACGCAGATTCGTTTCAGTGTAAACGAGGTCTTACTTTGCCTGGAGAAGGATCACGTACATGTTTCCATGGAAATGTTGTTCCTTTGACATTAATCTTCCACAGTATTGCAGAAAACATATTTATTAGACCCTATGACATTAGACCTGTAGAGAGGTGACCCCACTCACAATTAGAACTTATTTTTCAACATGTTTTTTACAATAATATCACCAGTAATGAAAATAATTAATGACATACAGTGGGACATTCCAGGCGACGCAATAAATCACACCTCCATGGAGACAAGCGGTTGACCCTTCATCAGTAATGACTTGCTGAAATATGTCGTGAGCACAGACTGAGGTCACAGGCGGGTCACAGAACTCTACATCAAGAGCAAGGGCTGATGGGAGATGTGCATTCCTCATTTCAATTCCAGTCTCCTCCTCTCTCAGATTTACAGTACAACTGCTCCTCTGCTCCGTCTGCTGCTGGGAACCACACGCCTGAAGCCTGAGCTCACCTTCATCCAAAGTTCGGTCCAATCGTCTCAGAAATTAACTCTTGCATTCTGTGGTTTTAAACTAGCGTTGAAATAAATGACGCAATGAATTACTATCAGTGTCAAAGCAGAGCAAAGGGTCATGGTGATGGGAAAGCTATTCAAAGTTGACTGCGTGCAGATAGCCACTTCACTGCTCGGACTTGGAGTTAAATCGATGTGTAACTGCCCCAGGAACACAACGTGCTGATGGTAATTGCAGATACAACAACAAATGCACATTATATGTCTTTTGAATGGGATGCACGGCTATTCTCACATCTAGTGTTAGAGCTGGGAATCACAGGGTCCAACACGATACGATACGATACAGGATACAGGATACATTTACCATTCGTAGTTGACACAGAAAGTCTCGTGTTTGAACTTTTATTTCTAGCTGTTCTGAAGATACTTGAGGTATAAATAACGACATGACACATTTGGATCAGTTTGTATTTTCAGTCTCTGCACTTGTATTGGTTGATGTAAGAGAATTTAAGTAATTTATCCTTCATGTACTGTACATCTCTCAGTTTAATAATGACTCACAGGAGCTAGAGTAACACGATCATCGTCCCTTGGCATACTGTTGGCATACCATTATTTAAACTGCGGCATATTTCTGTCTAACCGGTGCCTACTTGCCTTCATAGTACCGTACTTGCTTTATAAACCTCCTCCTATGGATGCATAGTAAAGTGGATTGAAAACTCAAAGATCATACTATATTCACTTTTGAAATCATACTATGTTCACCATTCAAGTGCCCCCTAGGCCTGCATTATTGATGGTAAATAAACTTCTCCTGCTTAAAAGGGACAGTCTAGTATTTTGGACATTTCCTAGTGAGCCAGAGTGTTGGAGACGTGTGGAGACACTTTTTTGAATATTCCGTTTCAGTCCTTGTATTTGTAGAGGTCACTGGTGCTAGGCTAGTGCATCAACGACCATAGTTAGCCCGCCACTTAAAACATCTTAAACGTCTTAATCACTCCACAAAGCACCCGAAGTAAATCTGTTATTACACCAGACTGTTGATGTCAATGTCTGTGTTGATAGAATAACTTTAGAAGTAAAACCAACCTTGCATTTGAGGGATTTATGTCTGACCAGCAGCGAGTTGTACTTCCTCATAGAAAGTTTGGCAGCGGTGGACTGATATCACCTAGCACCTACTTTATAGGCAAAGTAAAATTCTGCTGCTGCTGAGAAAATAGTCCCTCAACATGCGATAATTCATGCGATGCAAGGTTAGACATTTACATCGACAGTCTGGCGTAATAATAGATTTGCTTCGGGTGCTTTGTGGAGCTAACTATGGTCATTGACATGCACTAGCCTAGCACCAGCGACCTCTGCAAATACAAGGACTGGATGGAATATTTTAAAAAGTGTCTCCACACGTCTCCAACACTTTAACTAACAATGAAGTCCTATGTCCAAAATTTCAGACTTTACAACATCCAGTTGGTCTCCAGTCTTTTACTTCCACCTTTTCTTGGACAAGCTGGAAACTTCTACAACAGTTGATATCAGGTTTTGGATCAGACAAAGTATTGGAACTGGTATTAAATTGAAAAAGCTGCAGGCAACCCAAAGACAGACTCAAGTGAGGTTCATTCTGCTTTCTGATTAGATAACTGTCTTAAGAACCAAAACACCAAATTATAACAGACAATTTGGCCATCATGCCTACTGTTTCTGTAAAGTAAAAGTTATATTTGATTTCAAAATGTCTGCCATGTCCTGGAGGATACAGATTTATGGAATTTAAAATACATACTGTCCCTTTAAGTGCTCTTATAATCGCAGGATCATTATGTCATTTTAAGATGTGAAATTTTCCTCCCTCTGCTATTTTCTTAATCATTCCACCACAGACAGACATTTTTGGTAGTGGAACATAAAATACAACATAATTTAAACACCACACAGCGATAATGTTTTCTCTCCATTATTGCCAAAGCCTTTCTCTTTCACAGCTCCTCCTCCTCTCCCTGTGACCCTGAGGTACAGTCTCTTACATAAAAGCTGCCTGTCTCTTTCTTCTGGCCTCCTGCTGTGTTCTGTCAACACGCTCCTGTTTACTCAACATTAGGTTCTATCATCACCCCTCTCTGAAGTCACATGACCTTCTACGAGATATTGTTATGCCATGAGTATCTGCCGCATGTCACCGGTGTTTTCTGCTGACAGCTGCACTGACAGATCCAAACACATGACATGTTTATTAGTTCTCTGCATTATTTACTGGCGAACTGCCATGGTTGTTTTGGAATGGACGGATGGGTTCTCTGATTGGTTAATCAAGCTGTCAATTTATTTATTTATTTATGCCCGTCAGAGTACAGTTTGGATGTAAAATGTACTTTAAAATAAGGTCTCTAATAATTTCCTCATCACAAACAGACCTGGAGTTGTGTTTTGTTTCATTCACACATTTAACACACAAATCCTGCATATTTAGGGTAAGTTTTTCTCTCAAACTGAAAACACCTTGTTCCACTTTGTGATGTCATGTGGAAATATAGGAAGCACTCTCATGTGTTTTTAAACTCCACACAGCTTCACAAGCATCATAGATCATTTCAGTTGTGGAATTGCCAATCTCTGCAGAATTTAAGGTAAAATGTAGGTGTTAACTTGAAAACTACCACTACATGACATCACAAAGAGGAAAAGAGTGTTTTGAGCTTTGGAGATGTAGACAGACTAATAATAAAGGATTACTCAAAAGTGTGTGAATGAAAGAAAACACAACTCTGGATATGTCTTTGTAGAGGGAACAACATTGTAACATGACTTAAAGCTCACAAGAGTCAATTTTGAGTAACATAGGACCTTTAAATCTCATGTACAGTACGAATTAATGCAATCAGGCAGACGAATAGGGCTGGGTATCGTTAAGAAGTTGCAGATACGATACAAACCTCGATACAAAGGCCACGATACTATACGTTTTTCGATACAGTGCACTTTCGATTCAATACAATTCGATACGGTTCAGTGAAAAACAAAGGCTAAATCATCACTCTGACACTAAAAGTCTTTATCAAACCATAAAGTCTGTGCAAAGTTAATATGAAAAACTGTGAAAATGTCAACACAATTGTAGCTCTTACACAAAATAATTTAGTAAAATATACCTAAAAATACTCTTGGCAATATATCGATATAGCAGCCCACGTTATCGACACTGTATCATCAAATTAAACGATACGATATATCGATATTTCAGTATTTTTGTACACCCTTACAGACGAATGTCAAATAATACACAGATTCGTTTTCCTTTTGGTTGTGTTGCACTGAATAACGTGTCCTTATTCGGAGCGGGCTTGCTTCTCCACAGACCTACCTCTTACTTAATATAGGACCTTTAAATCTCATGTACGAGTTCATGCAGTCAGGCAGACAAATGTCAGATAATGCAGATTCTATATACAGTGCAGCGATTCAACAATCCTGGAGAATTTTAAACCAGCAAGCATCACTGTTCAGAAGGTTTTTAAAGATCTTAATTCAATGAAAGTTTTGGAAAAGTCATGGAATTTTAGTATCTCTTTCACGCAACTACAGTGTTCTCATTAGGCTATTATGATTCTTTCAAAATGTACTGACAGTATTTTAAAAAATGATAATCCCAAACTATAAATTGAGTGGAAAGAGTTTACATTCCATATTTAGCCCTAAAAATCTGATCAATTCTATACATGTAGTGTGCAGCAAAGTCATGGAAAATTCACTGTAGGTCATGAAAAAGTTATCAAAAATGTTTGAAATTTTGTCAGTGAAAAAGAGTGTTAACTACAGGCTTAGAAGTTTTTGTGCAGAAAAAGGTTATGTTCTCTCTTGTAGTGGAAATGATGGTACTTCATCATCAAAAATTATGACTTGCTAATTGCGTCCATTTAAATTGCTATTTCCATCTGATTGTAATTAACTTGTGGCATATTTTAATCTTTGCCAGTGTAGTAGATGAGAATACCATTGTCGACTTTTAGCCAATCAAGGAAATTTAGATTATGACACAAACTGGCCCTCAAAATGCATTGTACGCCATAGCCAAAGATCCTATTTCAACTGTAAATATATAAAGCAGATATATGTATGGCCTGGGAGCCCTCTTACCTTATAGTTCCTGCAGGTGGGGTTGAAGGCGTTGGTCCCACAGGCGAACAGAGTCTCATCGTTCCGTGGCACCAGGACTTTAATGTAGTTGTAACATTCATCCTGAGAGACACACATGAGTCTATTAATATAAATAATATAAACAACTATTAACACAAACACGTAACATACTTCAAATTCACAAGTACAGAGGGGCCATTGGATAAGAAGTATCTTGCCTCTAAGGGTGAATATTTCTCAAATTTAGAACCTAAATTTGTCAGTAAATTTAAGCAATTTTAACACATATTTTTAAACCCACTTTATATAAAACAGCAGGCCCGTCGACAGAAATTTGGGGGCCCGGGGCAAGAAGACTCATATGGGCCCCCCTTCTAATCTAAATTAACAGGAAGAGGATCCAATTCTGGGCCTCTAAAACCCCAACTCCAAACAAAAGAAACATGAATGGTACTGTGATCATTTCATGCTAAAACCAAGATAGTAGATAGTTGGATTAAAGCGGATTTCCTTTTAAATGAATGAATTGCAACTATCCTGAACCCGTCTTTAATAGTCATATATTTTGTGTGCCCAGACTTTTTAAACTGACATTTGCACATCTTAAAGGGACAGTCCAGAATTTTTGACATTCATTTCCTAGTGAGCCAGAGTGTTGGAGACGTGTGGAGACACTTTTTGAAATATTCCATCCAGTCCTTGTATTTGCAGAGGTCGCTGGTGCTAGGCTGGTGCATGTCAATGGCCATAGTTAGCCTGCCACTAAAAACACTCTTACCCAATCCACAAAACACAAAGCAAGAGTATCGATGTGAATGTCTGTGTTGATAACATGTTTGAAATAAAAGTAACCGTGTATCACATGAACCGTCGCATGTTGAGGGACTCAGCAGCAGCGGAATTTTACTTTGCCACTTTGCTAGGTGATATCAGTCCGCTGCTGCCAAGATTTCTATCAGGAAGTACAACTTGCTACTGCTGGTCAGACGTAAATCCTTCAGATGCAAGGTTGGTTTTACTTCTAAAATTATTCTATCAACACAGACATTCACATCGACAGTCTGATGTAATAATAGATTTGCTTCAGTGTTTTGTGGAGTAGTTAACTGTTTGTTTTTGGTGGCAGGCTAACTATGGCCATTGACATGCATTAGCCTAGCACCAGTGCCCTCTGCAAATACAAGGACTGGATGGAATATTTTAAGAAGTGTCTCCACACATCTTCAACACTCCGTCTCACTAGGAAATGAGGTCCTATGTCCAAAATTCCAGATTGTCCCTTTAATAAAATACTGTATACGATTCACAATAAATACGCAACTTTTGTTTCTTTGTTGCTGCTGCCAAAATTTTAATTTCAGTATCTGTATCTGTCTCTGTCTCTATGTTCTGAACTGAAGTACGGCTTGTTTTCATGTAAATATTGTTACTGTACTGTACGTTCCAAAGTATGATTTCTGTTTCTATGTAATCATGCTGGTGATTTCAGAAAGTCACACATTGTACCTTTAAACTCTACAGTTCTGGGCATAAAAAATACGACTGTTGTTACCATGTTTTGTCACCACCTGAGTAGTGAAGCAGTTTAACTTACGTCACAAAAATAGCTTCTAAGTTCGAAAGTCTACCCCTTGTCTTATCCACTACACATGTTTGCTTCCCCATTTTCCATTACAAAAAAATATTCAACTAAACCAGGCCACTGTTCCTCTAGACCTGGAGGCATCAAAAATATCATCTGCTGTTTCCTTCCCATCAATAAACTCTCCTAGCACCTCGCCTTCTTCTCAAATCGCTTCCGAAATGAATCTCCGACCGAAACCAGCCGAAACAACAAAACCACTCACGCTGTTTTTTCCCCGCACCGTACACTTGGCCACGTCCTTCGTCTTCCAAGTCAGCTTCTGCGAAAAAGAAGGGAAAAAAAAACACAAAAACAAAACATGAACAGACGGAAGAGTGGAAGAGTGTGAGCTCCGAGACAAGCTGCTCCTCACTTCGCTTGTTCCAGTGCTATTAGCGGACAGCTGTGCCCGAAATCTCATTAACTTCAATAAACTGTTGTAAGGGAAACACAAATAGACAGAAATGTGGGGTGGTTTCGGAGCGTTGGGAATCTGGTTGAACTCGATGGGAGAATAAAAGATGGAATTCAAAGCGGCGAGAGTGTTATGGCGGAGTAATTAGCGACAATTAACCTTGTGGACTGGTACAAATATATTCTGCAACGGGCTCCTACAGCTCCGCTCAAAAGGAGAGAGATACAGGGCTACATTCATGCTATAATACTCCCTACAACTGTACAACAACTCAGCCTTGTGTAACAGATAATACTCCCTACAACTGTGCAATTACTCAACCTTGTGTAACAGATAATACTCCTTACAACTGTACAACTCACCCTTATGCAGCAGATAATACTCCCTACAACTGTACTACAACTCACCCTTATCTAGCAGATAATACTCCCTACAGCTGTACAACAATTCACCCCTATGTAAAAGATAATACTCCCTACAACTGTACAACTACTCAACCATTGTGTAACAGATAATACTCCCTACAACTGTACAACAACTCGCCCTTATGTAACAGATAATACTCCCTACAACTGTGCAACTACTCAACATTGTGTAACAGATAATACTCCCTACAACTGTATAACTACTTAACCTTGAGAAACAGATAATACCCCTTCAACTGTACAAGTCACCCTTATGTAACAGATAATACTCCCTACAACTTTACAACGGCTCACCCTTATGTAACAGATAATACTCCCTACAACTTTACAACGGCTCACCCTTATGTAACAGATAATACTGCCTACAACTGTACAACAACCCTATGTCCTGTCTATTTAAAAAAAAAAAAAAAGCTATTTTGTATGTTACAAAAGTTAAACACAATTTTATGTATACATTTTGACAGCAAGTTACAGAGCATGCACTAAAACCATAGCTTTTGATTTTTTACCCCCCCCCGCGAAAGGTGAACCGCGATATAGCGAGGGACGACTGTATTATGTATATTACGTTTTTTTCATTCACACATGTTTGAGTAACTTTTTATTTTGAATCTGTCTACATCTCCAACAGTCAAAATGTTTTACCTTTTCATTTTGTTTAGATAGAGATGGGCAATTCCAGGGCTGAAATTACCATTACAACATTATAACATAGGCCAGAAAATAGTGTAATATAGGCCCTTTAATAACAACTCGTGTGACTGATTTCCTGGGTGCTAAACTGACATTTTCAGCTTTAAAAGTCATTCTATAAGCGGTAATGTAATTTCTCTCACCCTCCATACATTTACAGTCTCCTCACTCGTACCTTTATCCCTTGGCTTGTGTGGCTTTACGAAGTTATTAGTAAAACAAACCAAGCATACATATTGAGGTTTTAATATGCAGGTTCTGTGGTCTTTACTTATGCACTGTCTCACCTGAATAAGCCCCCATGTATTACGGATATTCTATAGGGATCTGTGCATAATGGCATATATAGGAAAAAAAGTCATATATTGAAATTGAAATGCAAACCTTGTCATTCACTAGAGGCACTTGAAGAAATTAGTTATTTCATGTGGAGTAGAGAAAGTGGTCACAACCTAAACTAGAGTTTCAGGACGTAAGAGTATTTTCTGATCCATGTTTTAATGTTTCCTCATCACAAACATACTTGGAGTTGTGTTTTGTTTCATTCACGCATATTTAACACACAAAGCCTGCAGATTTAGTTCTTCTCTCAAACAGAAACACAATACAGGAAGTGGTCCACTGTGTTTTTTAAGTCCATCCGGTAACGCTTTATAATATTTAGCCTTAATAAAGCATGAACAAAGGCTTAATTAATAATCATTCACGCTTAGTAACTACTTAATTACTACCTTAATTAGCAATTGCACTTAATTTGCCTGTGCTGTAAATAGTTACTCATAATTATTTCATACTTAATTACTCATGGACTAACCATTTGAGCATTTATTAATCATTAGTAAGCTAGGGGTGAGATGGAGAGTTTGGTAAACTTGTTCTGTTCTGTTGTTTATGTTATAGTTTATCTGAAGAACTGTTCATATGTGACATTAACAGTCTGTTGTTCTCTCTACTATTGTTATTACTAGAACTTGACTTTCAACATGAAATATCGGTTCCTGGTCTCTGATTTTATCAAATAAATTTCCCCCAAAAAGTGCAATTTATAGTCCAGTGCCACCTATATATGTTTTTTTCTTCTTCATTATGCATTTTTAGCTGTTGCGACTTATACTCCGGTGCGACTTATAGTCCGAAAAATACAGTATGAAGCAAAACATATACGAATAAGAGACAGGTGTCAAATAAGAAATTATTTTATAAATGTATATGTACAAGTCAAAATAAATAGAAAAATAAGTAATCAAATCTAAAATCTCAGCTATATACAAGAGGTTCTAGTAAGACAGTACAACAGTGATATAATGATTGACAGGACATGGGGTTATCAGTTACACAAGGGTGAGTTTTTGTACAGTTGCACTAGCTACAAAACCTCCTTGTTTTGTTGCTTCCAGGTACTAACTCCAGTTCAAGTTGTGGCCACTTTCTCTCTTCTCCATGAAATAACCCACTTTTCTCCAAGTGCCTCAAGTTTATGCCAAGGTTATAATTTCACGTTTCACACTGCACCTTTAACTAGCCTGTTTCACATCAATATCCGACTACCTAGACTCATTCAGGCCTTATCTGAATGACTTTCTTTGTGCTTGAGAGAGCCTGTGTATAAGTGCAATCATGTTTCACAAATGAGACCGTGATCGGACGAAGCCGGCCACTTGAAAACTAATACAAACCTGCCTCGCGACGGCCTGGACCACTGCCACTTGAAACAAAAGAGGAAAAAAAAAAACGCTGCCATAAGATAATATAAGAAAATGAAAACAAGATGGAGTGCGTAGTAGTCCTCGAGAATGCGGGGAGGTTAAAGCGGGTCAAATGTTTTTATGATGATATATTAGCCGCTGTATGGTAGCTGGCAGCGTCCATAAAGCATTTTCACTGTTGCAGAAGTAATGGCGCTGTGTTTAATTATAACAGAGATGGAATACACTGAGATGCAAACTTTTATATTAGTATTGATTTCTTAAAAAGGACACCGCGAGCGTTTGCCGGCCATTTTATTAGGTACGGCGACGTGACCAAATGATGGAGGATTGATTGTGTTAATTGAATCATGGGAATTTTAGACGTACTCATTAGGAGATAATAGTTCCCATATGAAAATCGCAGCAGTAAACAAATAAAATAGTGGAAATTGGAGACTAGACGTATATTTTTTTTTAAAGGTTGCTCTATGTAACCTTTCTAGTGAAGGGTTCGTCATCTGCTTGTATCCATGGAGATGTTACTAGTATGTTATTTGCCTCATATGTTAAAAGCCCCTTCAGATTGGAATAGAGTACATACACCATTAAGAACTTTAACATCTTTCAATTCATTTAAATCATCTTTATTTTCATATTTCCAAACTCCTTGTTTATGTTTTTAGCTTGTCTTTTTTATTTTTCAGTTTGTTCTATTATTATTTTCCATTTGCTTGTTTCATTTTTATATAAAGTATAGAATTACAAGACTTTTTATTATTATTATTTATTTTATTTTTTTTAATTTAAATTTTAAATGTTATTTTTCATTTATTTTATTTTATTTTTTTATAAATCTGGTACTGTTGCAGGAGTTGGGAGGAGTGCATGAGGGAGCAAGTGTCTGTGTGTAAGTATGTGTGTGTGTATGTTTTGTAATGTAAACCTGCAAGTTTTGTATTCTGTCTATTGTATTGTACTGAATTGTATTGTGTTGTGTATTACTAATTACATATGTTCCACAGACAGGCCAAATTACAGGTTCAGTTCAATTCTGTTCTATTTTCCCCACAATTTTAAATTACCGTATTTTTCGGACTATAAATTGCACTTTTTTTTCATGGTTTGGGTGTTTCCTGCGACTAAGGTACGACTTATATATTAACATTTTCACATGGACAGCCTTGTACCACTGTCTCTTCACTCTACTGCGCATGTCTCCTGTAGAAAAAGGCGCTGTCCTGCTGCAAATAGTGAAATATGCAGCCGAAAACGGTAATCAAGCAGCAGAAAGAAAGTTTGGAGTGAGCAAGAAACTTGTGAGGGACTGTCGGAAAGTGGGGATGAAGAACACAGCTTCACGGCAACCGGGCGGGTGCGCCATGAAATTTTCCTGGAAGTCAGTGGATCGACAAAGCCTGGACTTCAATGACAAATGAAACCATCCTGTCAGGATTCAGAAAGGGTGGAATAATTCTAACTGGAACTGATGCTGAGTCTGACGACAACTACACAGAAGAGGAAGCGGTGCTCTGTTTATCTCATGGATCTAAGGTTTATCTCCAGAGGCTGCACAGAAGTGACACCGAGGATGAAGAGTTCAATGGATTTAGAGATTTGAAGTGAGATTGTGAGTATGATAAACTTATGTTCTGTTGTTTATGCCATAATCATCTGAATAAATGTTAATTAATTACTATTCAGTCTGTTGTTCTCTGTTCTGTTGTTTTTACTAGAACTTGACTTTCAAGATGACATGTCAGTTCCTGGTCTCTGATTTTATAAAATACATTTCCACAAAAAGTGTGACTTATAGTCCGGTGTCACTTACATATGTCTTTTTCTTCTTCATTATGCAGTTTTTGGCTGGTGTGACTTGTAGTCCAAAAAATACAGTATAATCCCACAAAGGCACAGATTTATATGTATATGTAAATATGTTGACATATATATTATGTACGTCCATATGTGTTAACTGTGAAAAAAACATGGACTCCCAAGGAAGCTGGGAGGTTTGTATATATGGAGTCCATCATAACAGCAGGATTAATTTAGTGGCTTGACAGGTTCAGTTTTTCGGTTAAAGTACAACAGACAAGACAATAAATTCATAATAATAATGATAATAATAATAAACGCAAAAGGAAAAAAAAAGGTCAGGTCTCTGAAGAAGCGATCCCTTGTCTTGTCAGGTTATTTTTGCACAATTAAAAGATCACCAGAAAAGTTCCGCAGTGCTCCTTTAAAGTTTGATGGGGGTTAATTAGCTCCAAGTGCAAAGTGAAATTTCAACTTTATTTCTATAGTCTTCAGTCATGGATATGTTATTAGAATGGTCCACAGTGTGGCATTAAACATGTCTATCTCCATGTAGTAGTAGGTGATACTACCAGGCCCAATTACAGGTCACATCTGTGGAAGGGAGACTGGTCGCAGTAAGAATTCATGTTTTTAAAGTCATTTTAAAGTAATAAAAACACCACTAATTGAATAAATGCTATACTTCACCAGAAAAGTTCCATAATGCTCCCATAAACCTTGATGAGGGTTAATTAGCTCATGCTCATAAAAAAGTCATTTTTGTCAAGCGAAGTCAATTTTCAGTTTATCGGTTTCTCAATGGTCCATTAGCTTCAGCCATAAAATAGTTGAATTTGTGGAAAAGTTGGAAAAAGAAAAAAAAAAAACTTAAGTGGAAAAGTGGACAATTGATGGAATGGCTGGTTTAATTATGAACGTATTTGAGGACTACATTAAATTTGTAGTTTTTGCGTCCGATAATCAGGAAATGCGTGTTTAGCATGTTAGTGGCTGTTACTATTACCATGCTGAGTTATGAAAAGCACTTATAAACTCATTACGGTGAATAATTACGATGTTCAGAATGCATTAAGTAAGTGACGAATAACTTTGGACCACGGCAAACCATTTTAAAATGAATACAGTTCAATGCCGTACTGTGAAACATTACAGGTAAATTTACATCATCTTTGTTGTCATATCTCAAAATTTCTTTTTCTTCTTTATGTTTTTAGTTTGTCTTTTTTATTTTTATTTTTCAGTTTGTTCTATTATCATTTATTATTATTATTTTCCTTTTGTTTATATCATGGTTATATAAAGAATACTACCGTAATTTCTGGACTATTGAGCGCACCTGAATATAAGCCGCATCAACTTTTAACAATAATTTAAAATTGTAAATATATAGACCGCACCTGAATATAAGCTGCATCAACTTTTAACAAAATTTTTTAAATTGTAAATATATAGACCGCACCTAAATAAGCCGCATCAACTTTTAAGAAAATATTAAAATTGTAAATATATAGACCGCACCAGAATATAAGCCACATCTACTTTTAATGCAGTTTTAAAAGTGTAAATATATAGACCCCACCTGAATATATCTTGCCTCTCAAAGCTTTTGTCGTCTTTTTGCATTGAGTCACTTCATCACTCTGCCGTCGCCAAAGTCTCACCATTGACTCACTGATGCCGAGCTCACGTGCAGTCGTTCTGTTTCTTTCTTTGACAGCCTGATCAAACGCCTTTAACTTAAATCATCTACATTTCTTCATGTGTTTTCCATGCACATGAAATGCAAAATAACTGTTCAAACACAATCAAACTAGAATCTTTCTCGGCGCATCACCCCCATCTCTTTGCGCACTCTACTGTGCATGTCTCCTGCAGAAAGAGCCTCTGTCCTGTCTGTATCATGTCAGTGTTTTGTAGGATTTCAGTAGATTTCAGATTCTCCAGGGGGCGGGGTTAGTTGTATCGATCAGGTATGAGTGGATGTCCGGCTACTGAAGTTTGAGACGTTTCATCTCATCATTTACGCACTCACCTGCATCTAACGCATATGGGTAATGACGACATATGCCACTCACTACTGTTCATTTAGCATTTATTCATTTAGTAGTAGTTATCATTACCACGTTAAGTTGTGAAATGAGCTTATGAACTCATTACGTTGAATGATTACGATGTTCAGAATGCATTAAGTGTTAACTGTTTTCAAATGAATATAGTTCAGTGCCGTACTGTGAAACATTACAGGCAAAGCAAAGCGTCTCCATGGCGACTGACCCCTCACTAGAAAGGTTACATAGTGAACCTTTAAAATTGTCTTCTGCCATAAGACGCAAAACAAGTAAATGTAAAGATGAGTCCAAAATGTGGATTTCAAAAACAGAAATCACTATACTGTGCTCTAACCTCAGTAAAATTAATTTGTTTTTACTGCCAGTTGATTTTAGCGATCTCAATTATTTCAAACGGGATTTTGGTGCGACTCTATTGATATTTTATTGTTTTTATAGTTTTTATAGCTGTTCTTTTATGGATGTTTGAGCTCCTTGTTGTAGGCTAGGTTTTATGGCTTAGTAAAAGTGCATTAGTTTTGTCACTGGCGCAGGTTTTGATGGCAGCCGAGGGAGCGGGAGAAGGGACACAAAAGGAGGTAGTAAAAATGAATCCTCAACACGTTTTGTATCAAGAGAGCTCTGGGTGCTTTCAATATGGTGATACAGGGCTGTTAGAAAACTGTGGGATTTGGATGCAAGAAGAGTTAGGATGTAAGGAGAGATATTGACAGATACTATCCTGCCAAAATGTGTTAAAATCCAGATCTGTAAGAAGTTCAATATTGAGAGGACCTTAACAACAACCCCAAAACAGGGAAAAAAAAAATCTCAAATGATTTAAGGTCCTATATTCCCATATTTTTCGGACTATAAGGTGCACCAGATTATAAAGCGCAATATCAATAATGTTGAATTCTCTCGTCTATTTTCATATATAAGGCTCACCAGATTATAAGGCACATTAAGCGAAACAAGACAGACGACACTTGAGACTGATCCCTTAGTCCAGGCATCCACGATCCATTGGCAGACTGTGGCGTAACTCGCCCGTTCGTCGTCTCCCTGTCTTGTGCCTTATGAATGTGATAATTTAAGTTTGTTTTTTTATTTCCTATGAGGAGGACTCAAATATACACTGAGTAATAATGTGTTTAATGCAGCTTTGTGCACATTTGTTTACATTTTACAGAAACAAATCTTAAAACCACATGGCTCATTTGCATAAACTATAAGCTCTGAAAAATGCAGTTCAGCTTTTGTTGAACTAAAGGACACGACTTGGTGGAGGTCGGTAAACACAACCACAATTAACACAAACGGCGCTACGATATATAAGGTGCACAGTCGATTTTTGAGAAAATTAAAAGGATTTTAAATGCTCCTTATAGTCCAAAAAATACGGTACATAAAATTGACGCTTCTGAGATTTTAGCCATGTTATAATGTTCCCTCATCAAAAACAGACCTGGAGTTGTGTTTTGTTTCATTCACATTTGAGTAACCTTCATTATTAGTCTGTCTACATCTCCAAAAATGTTCTATTCCACCTTGTGATGTTATGTAGTGATAGTTTTCAAGTTATCAGCTATGTTTTACCTTTAGTTCAGTAGAGATTGGTAATTCCAGGTCTGAAATCATCCAAATGATTCTCGTGAAGTTGTGTGGGGTTTGACACAGTGGATCACATGACATCACAAGGTGGAAGCAGAGTGTTTTGAGCTTTGGAGATGTAAACAGACTAATAATAAAGGTTACTCAAATGTGAATGAAACAAAACACAACTCCTGGTCTGTTTTTGAGTGTTTTCTGTTTGAGAGAAGAACGCAGCCTAAATATGCAGGGTTCGAGTGTTAAACATGTGTGAATGAAACAAAACGCAATTCAAGTTTTTTCCAATTCAAAAACTTGCTTTAAGAGGTGTTATATATGTCATCCATGCAGGTATGAGTAATCTAGCGATCTCTCCTGAGTCCTATTTGAACACTCCTTAAAAGTACACGATGTAACTTCTAAAGGCGGAGAATCCTCTACTTCCCTGTTTCCATGGAGATGATATTTCTTTGCAATGAATGTTCCACCGTATGGCACTAAACATATTTTGCCTTGCATTTATTCAATTCCAGAAACATTCCATTTATTGAAAAACATGAATTCTTACTACGTGCAGGCTCGCAGGCTTCTCCATACATCTGAACATTAACTTGTCTCCACTGTTGTAACCAAGTTTATTTCCATACTGTGGAATATTCAAGGCAAAGCAATAACATCTCCATGGAAAGAAACTCCTCCAGAAAAAGTTCCACAGTGCACGAGTGAACGTCAAAAACAAAACTGAAACCAAAATCAACGTTTTAATGCTGTTTTTTGAGAATCTAGCATTTTCAAAACAATAAAAGGCAACATGCTGATCTAAATATGTCATGTTTTAATTATTAACCTTTAGAACTCGCTGTTGAATTGCATTTTTATATAGTTTTATTTTTAAAAAGCCTTGGTATTCATATTTTGCGTAAGTACAAAGATGGGAAATGCATTGAATTCTTGTTAATATGGAAAATATGTTTGAAGATGATTATGTAAGATTTCAAATGAGGATTAAAAGCGATTTCTTGTCTTTCGTGGATAACTTACAATATTGTCTAAGCACAACTATTGAGACAATTAAAAACAGATAGAAACAGATTAGATTTATTTGTGTCTATATAAAATGACAGTCTGGTGTCCTTGTAGATCGCACGTTTTTTCTGGTTTTCCAAATTATTCATCATTAGTTAGCAGAACTCTGGAAAAATTTGCATAATATTCACATAATGGTCTCATATAATGCTTTTCTACACACCAACCTGCCTTTCATTTTCAAGTCTCCTTCAGCGTTCATAATAGAAATGTGTCCAGCCCTCCTGAATGCCATTTATCTGACTGAATGCCGTTAATCTGCGTTTTGATTTGAAGACGGCTCTCCTTTATGGTAGAACTCGGGTAAAAATGTGAACTTGTCTCCTCGCATGTAACTATGTCAAAGCCGTGATGGATGAGGCGCAGTGGAGACAGAGCACGGATCCTACCTGCTGTGGGATGATCTGCTCGGACGAAGACGCCAGGTTGATGGCAAACACATGGTCCCTGTGAAAGAGAGAGAGAGGGGAAAACAGAGAGGAGTGAGCCATCTGAGCGTGACATGTATCTCAGATTTGGAGACCACTTCCTTTGGGCTCCCATTTTAAATTCCATTCATATCAGAACAATAATAATAATAATACCCTTAATTCGATATGGTAAAGGTGACACACAATGCAAATTTGACTTTTAGTAGCTTTTAATGACAAGTAGTTACGGGCGGAGCCACTGACCTACAGGTTGTGGTATGATTCCAGCTCCCACAGATCAATGCTGTCATTATGTCCTTGGGAAAAACATTTAACCCATCGCCCCCAGTGTCTGTGTACACTGGTGTATGAATGTGTGTGTGAATGGGTGAGTAGTTCCTTGTTGTAAAGTGCTTTGAGTGCCTTGAAAGTAGAAAAAGTACTATATCTCTAACATGCTAGTGCCATATGAACCATCTCCCACTCTGAGGAGCTCAGAGACAGACCTCCTGCTGGTGCCCAGAGCCAGAACTAAACATGGGAAGTCAGCTTTCAGATTCACGCAGCTAAAACCTGGAAGAGTCTTCCTGAACATGTGAGACAGGCCTCTACTCTGACGCTGTGTAAATCTATCCTCAAAATGGTTCTGTTTAGCTGCATATGACTGAAAGGTTTTCATTTTTCATTCTGCACTCTTCTCTCTAATTTAATGTCTCTCTCTTTTTACTTCTATGATGATTATTTATGTTTTTATTTGTTTTTATTGTGATTTTAATGTAATTCTTATTCTGAAATTTTTTGAATTACTTTGTGTACAAATTCTGCTATACAAATAAACTCACCTTGCCTATATAAAAATATCAACCAATATCTATACAGATTTGCTGGCATCTTATCAGCTGTATCAATGCAAAAATATTGAAATATCAATATACTGTATTGTTTAATGTGATGATACAGTATTGATATCGTGGGCTGCTGTATATATGAGTATTTTGGGGTATTTTTTACAAAATTATTTTGTTTCAGCTACAGTTTTGTTGCTTGTTCAGAGGAAGGAAACTCATGCAGCACATTTGACATATTCACTGTTTTCATGGTTAAAATGTTTGTGTTTCATATGAACTTTCCACAAGAAGTGGTTTAAGAAAGACTTTTAATATCACAGCCACCATTTAGCCATTAGTTTTTATTTAACCGTATCGAATTGATTTGAAATATATCGTATCAAATCGAAAGTGCACTGTACTGAGATATGTATCGTATCGTGGCCTATGTATCAAGGTATGTATCATATCGACTGTTTAAGGATACCCAGCCCTACTGCCCAATCCTCTGTGTGCACAGACTAATGAGTCAAAATGGAAACAGCAGAGTTAAATGGCTGTATATTTCACAAACGTAACAATAATGTGTTATTTTATATTCTAGATAAATATATTTTGTTAGTCTTTTTACAAAAGTGAAAAGTTAATTTGTGATCACAGCAAGCCAAGATATTGGTTTCTGCTACAAAAAAAATCCATATTATTTCCTTTTTGCAAGTCTGTAAAATTCATTGCTTTGATCAACCCCCATTTTCACTGCCACTGGCTCACGGCCACTGCTCTGTACTTAATTTGTTCTCCAATTTTATTTTCGGTGATACGCGTAGGATTCAGAAGCATCGCATAGTCATGAAAAAAAATATCCACTTCTCGGTATCATGATGTGCGGCTATCCATTGGAGTTGCTTTTTGTTGTGAGCGGTTGTTAGCGTGTCTGATCCCAAGGTTGGCAGTTCAAATCTCGTTATAAACATCCTTGGTAGGTTGGTCTTGTGATTCCAGCTCCTGTAGATGAATATTGTCATCTTGCCTTGTGCAAGACACTTCACCCACCTTGCCCCCAGTGTTTGCAGATATTGGTGTGTGAATGGTTCCTTGGTAAAGAGCTTTGAATGCCTTGAAGGTGGAAAAAACACTATATATGTGATCATTTACCATTGATATGCACTATAACGTTCACTTCATAAACATATCTTAGTGGGGATTTGCAATACAGTGGTTTCAGTATTAATATCGACCAGTATCGATACAGATTTGCCAATATCAGATTGCCTGATATCAATATTCAATATGAATATTGTTTCAGCTGTTGTAGTCTCTGTGTGCCCATTTTGAAAAGAGCCAAAATCGTTTTTTACTTGAAGCCCTGACAGTCCTGCACAAGAATTCCAATGTGTATGGATTTTTATGTGTTCACAAATGGCAAATACATTTCTTGAATCTTTAATTTCTTGCCGCCCCTCGGTAATGCTCCCCTGAACATCTGCCCGCCTCACTCACACAATGTAGTTATAAATCTGAATTGACCAATTGTTACAAACCAGTGCTAGGGACAAAGGAAAGTAACACAAACAAGATGTGATGTAAGGTAAGTGGCTTTTATAAAGTAAATGTAAGTAAGTATAATAACAAAAAAAAAAACAGTTTTACATATGATAAATCAAAATTTCCAAATACAACTAAACAATACCTCGATTGGGGTAAATAACTCAAAGAAAATACAAATGCCCAAGGGTCGAGCCAAACTAGCAAATACAAACAAACGACAGCACTTTTATTGGACGAGCTGATGGGATGTGTAGGAAGGGGATTGGAGGAAGGGGATGTCAATCCTCCAACGGGGCACGACGAACATCGGAACACACCCAACAGCGACGGGACCACACCCCACCAATCAGGCGCCAGGTACCACACAGGACATGTCAATATAGAAGGCACACACGGTAAAACAAACTGGGAGCGCCGGGCGAGGCAGAGCCAGGCCGCGAGCCGTAACACCAATGACACTTTGCAGTGACATCACGCTGGGGGTATTCTACAAGTTACAATGATGACAATGCACACATGAGCAAAAAAGTTTTAAGATAGTCTGAAAACTCAAGAAAAATTACAAAATGGATTTAAACAACACATTTTCAGGAGCCTGTAATCAATACAAGTGTGCCCTGTCCTGTTTAGAGGTTTGATTTTCAACAAAAATAGTGAGCGTGATGACCTGCAAATCTAACTTGGCTAATAACTTGTGTCTAGAGAGTGATTTGAGTGGGAGATCAGCTCACCTATTGTAGCTCCAATCAACTCTTTCTGGTCAGACTGTGTTAAAATAAACCTCAGATTAAAGTCTAACTTGAGTAACAGACCTTCAGTTAGCTTCACAGCCCCAAGGAATGTTGACGTCATCAGCTGCAAAGTATCAACACAAAGATGTCCAACAGCAACCAGAATAAAATGTGTAACACGTCCCATTTGACATGCTTTACGTGCAAGCCTGACCCAAAGCAGTCGGCGGCTCAATGTCGTGAGTGTAGCTACAGTAACTGGCTCCTCTTCCCTTTACAAACCTCCCAACACGGACATTTCCAAATATTGACCTAACCTGCATGAATCACTTTGTGCAGGCTGCAGCTGTGAGGTATTGGCCGGCTCCTGGTTCGCCGTTATAAAAGCGCTGTACCTTTAAGAGCTTCTTGGCAAAGCTCGGCGCCGCAGTTTGGGATTAGAGCCAAGCACTGAAACAAGATTTAGCCTGCGCCATCCGAGGAGCGGGCACGGGGACAGAGCTCGGACTTCTGCAGAATTAACCTGGGATGAGGACGGAGGGAGCGGGGCGGGTGGTTAGGAAGGAGAACAGCAGGTGTGGAAGGTGGCAGGATGGTCCAAATTGGATCTAATTTCAGTTTCGATTTTTATTTAAATTTGCATGTTTTTGCTTTTTTATTTTTTGTTTTTTTACATATAAATTTAAGCTTGTATGTTTTTTAATTCATGTTTTTTTTATTTGTATATTTATTTATTTTTTTTCTTTTGCATGTTTTTCATTTGTATGTTTTTTTTTATTTGTATGTTTTTTCATTTGTATTTTTTCAACTGTATTTTTTTCATTTGTATGTTTTTTTCTTTTTTTTTTCATTTGTATGTTTTTTTTTTCCTTTTTACATTTATATGTTTTTTCATTTGTATGTTTTTTAATTTACTTTTTAAATTTTTTTTTAATTTAATTTATTTTTGAGTTGCCAAATAGCCAATAGCAAGTATTTGCTGATAGTGAAATCCATAACTTTGTATGTAAATTTTCTGCTTGTCAAATGGAGATGTGATTACTTTGACTGGAATGTTCCGCAGTATGTTTTTAACCTTATTTAACTAGAATACAGTTTTCATTGCTTAAAAACACAGTTAAAAACATGCATTTTTACTAGGCATAGGGTCACCTATCCACAGATCTGACCTGTAACTTGACCTACTGGCTCCACCTGCCTGTCTCAACTAAGAGTGATAAGTGACAAGCGATGCACCATCCACCTGAAAAAGTTACATAGAGCCGCTTATAGCAAGATCCACAGATTGAAGTAAACATGTAAAACTCACTATGGCTATGTTCAGACTGCAAGGCGTAAAGCTCAATTTAGATTGTTTTGTGAAATCTTATTTTTTTGTGAGGTTGTTCACATTTTCAATTAAATGAGACTTGTGTGTGGTCTCTGAAGTCGCCAAAACCTGGAGATTTTGAAGTTGCCAGAGCCAGAACATGTACAGCTTATTTGTTTTAAGGAGGAGACTGAGAAGGAGAAGGATGAGGTTTTTTGATCATGGTGTTTTGTGGGGCAGTGGCAAAATCTGTGTATCATTGTTTTTCAATTGTTTTCATAGAAATCAAGAATTCAAACAAACAAAAAATAAAATAAACAGTTTCTTCATTATTTGTCTCCAAAACCAAAATGAAAAAATGGATAACAATTTACTTTTTCAGTTTTTTATTTTGTGTTTAAATGAATAATGGAAAAAACAGGTAATGGCCGGTTCCCGTTTCACACGGAGTTCAGACACAATTTTCGTATGACGTGTAGGTGGGATGAATGCGACCAAGCTGAAGTCACATGTCAAAAGATCAGATGTGTGTCAGTTTCAGGAGCACATATCCAAGTGGCCTGGGTCGCATTTGAAAAAATAGTTTTATAGAAAATGTAATGCAAAATGTATTTATCTTGTATCTGTTGTATTTTGATGATTGTATAACATTCAGGCTTCCATTGTTGCTCTTCTATTTCCATTATAACTCACTGGTCTGTTTAAAAGGACATGTCTGATGCACAAACTGGACACGGGGACAACACAGAACAAAATATCACTGCAAAATATTAGGACTTTTTCAATGTCTGACCAATGTGTGTTGAAAAAAACCTTAGCAGCGAAATACAGTCCATCCCTGTTAAAGGAGGTTAAAATAGACAGGCCCCAAACGCCTGAACTGAATGAGCGTAATGTTCCTGCATTAGCATCACACAGAGGCAGTAAACAGTGAGTAACAGCCTGAGGTCTGTGGAGCTCGGATCAGCCTGAAATACAGCTCCGATTAGACCCGTGTGGAGGTGAGAGAGAGACTTAAAATGTTTCACTAAAATATGAGCTCCAAATGTGATTCTCCTGCTAAACTATGAGCGGGGAAATGCTTCAGAGCGCATGGGGCTAATGTGGTGTTTGGAGACGAGCTTTTCTTTTGCAGGATACAGGGATCAGTCTCCTGGTAGGATGGGAAAAACAATACTGGTCATTGTATCAAAAACAGTGACTGGCAAGAATGATGTCTCGCTGTATATTTTATTTTTTTATATCATTGCTTCTGTGTAATAATCAGCAAGTGCACGTTATTATGCTACTTGGTAATTTTACTGTGACTGACAGCAAAACTTAACTATGGCCTCTGAAAGTTGTAAAAAGCGCTTATAGCCCCATGGTGGTGAATAATTGAGATGCTTAAAATTGGGGGTGTAAGGAAAAAAATAAATAAAAATCAGTGATACAGCACGATACTTCACTTCAAAATGTGATCTTTTAAAGTTTAAAAAAAGTTCCATTTACTGTTCTGATGATTATTAGATCCAACTTTGTTCTTGTGAAGGTGTATTTCAGGGGTGTCCAAACTTTTTTCATCAAAGGCCACATATCTAAACACAGATGAAGCAGTGGGCTGATCGACGGCCGTAGACTGATGCTCAGTACAGTGAATAATTGAAATATGTGGATGTTTAACACGTTAGAATGAGCCATCAGTCTTTATTCATGCTAAGAACCTTAAAACTACACAAAATACTACACAAAATATTAAATATTGGCTTTATCCTGGTAGATTTTCAAAAAACTTGCAGTAAAAAGTAAAGTTTTAATTGATGTAAGGTCATTTGGGCCAACTCACCTGGAAGCCTGAGGGCAAAGAAAAAATTGTCTGAGGGCCGCATTTGGCCCACGGGCTATAGTTTGGACATGCCTGTTGTATTTAATCATAATATACGTAACTATTAGTAAATCACAATATATCATCAACATTTTGAATATTAGTGATATATTATTTTAGTATTTAGTGATGTATTGTGATGTATTCAATGATGACACGTATATTTTGATACACATCAGATCATGGCAATGTACTTCTAAACTCAAAATGTGAGAAAAAACTCAAGATCACTGCAAACTGCAAAAACTTTAGAGTGAACTACTTCTGTTTTTCATGTCAAGATGCTAAAAATCAGGTCATGACATATCCCAAGGCAAAAGGTGTTAGTGTAACCTGCCAATTTATAACCGTATAATCTTACATGCAGTAGTAATGAGGGATGTAACACCATTTAAATCTCTCGGTACGATATTTATGACGATATTTTGGAGAGGCTGATATAAGTGTAAATATGACGCTTTTTCTGCTTTTAAAATACCCTGACAAGATTTTGGTGTGAATTATTACTGTCACAATCTCAAGAATTCAAGTAAAAAACATATTTCCTCATGGTGTTTGCTCTGAAAGGAATCATGGGATATGAAGTTCCTGATGTTTATTACCTAGTGCTACCATAAAACAATGTATTTAAGCAATGTAATTCGATATACTGTGACGTCCCACGATATTATTGTGAGACTTTTGACAATACAATATCACAATATTTGGGTTATAGTTACATCCCTACTGGTAATATATTTCAGTACAATTAGTTCCACTCAGGTCTAATAATAATAATAATACATCAGATTTATATAGTGCTTATTTGGACACTCAAAGATGCGACACTGTAGAAAATGGGGAAATCGTGGAGGGAATGCCAGTTTGAACAGGTGAGTTTTTAAAAGTGATGTGAAGTGCTGCAGTGAATCCAAGTTCCTGATGGGTTGTGGGAGCGATTTCCAGAGGGAGGGGGCAGCGGCGGCGAAGGCTCGGTCTCCCAAGGTCCGGTGCTTTGTACTGATGAGGGGAGTGAGGAGGTTGGTGTCGTCTGATCTGAAGCGGCGGGTGGGACGGTACAGACGGTGGAGGTCGTTGAGGGAGGGGCCAGGTTATGGAGGGACTTGTAGGTAATGAGGACGACCTTGTATTGAATGCGGTATTGTGCAGGGAGCCAGTGGAGTTGCTTAAGGACAGGTGTCTATTCTAATATTCAAACGTACCTGGCAGCGATGTAGAGCATGTGGTTGATCCGCAGCATCCTCTGGAAGTCCAGCCCCAGACGAGCCGTGTCGTTGTCCGACATGAGGCCCTGGAAGCTGGGGTACAGGTAGGTCGCTGTGGAGAGAACACACACAACAGTTTGGATAGGCTCCAATCAAAGACCTGCTGTAATTACTCTGGGCTGCATTTTTAATCACAATCACAAGCTAAAATTTACTGCAGACTAAATATTTAGTCTTGTTGTGTATAAAACCTGCTGCCTATGTAGTAGTTGAGACATCCACAATCTTAAACTGCAATGCCAGACTTTTGCACCGCATACGGACTAAACCAGAACTAAAACAGAACTGAACCAGGACTGAACCAGGACTAAACCAGGACTAAACCAGGACTGAACCAGGACTAAACCAGGACTAAACCATGACTGAACCAGGACTAAAACACGACTAAACCAGGTCAGAACCAGGACTAAATCAGGACTGAACCAGGACTAAATCAGGACTGAACCAGGACTGAACCAGGACTAAACCAGGACTAAACCACGACTAAACCGGGACAGAACCGGGACAGAACAGGGACAAAACCAGTACTAAACCAGCAATGAACCAGAGTGTCGGGACGGGCCCAGAGGTCCATCTGCTTAGACTGTAGGGTGATCAGGACTAAGACCAGGACCAGACTGGGACTGAGACCGAGATGAAGACCAGACCAGAACCAAGACCAGGACTGAGACGGTCCTGGTCCTTAGTCCTGTTTTAGTCCTGTTTTAGTCCCATTTTAGTCCCGTTTTAGACTTGTTTTAGTCTTGTTTCAGTCTTGTTTTAGTCCTGTTTTAGTCCTGTTTTGTGGTGCAAAAGTCCAGCATCGCAGTTTAAGTCACAGAAAGGGGAAACGGCTGTTACCAGTTTTTTCCATTATTCATTTAAACACAAAATCGAAAACTGAAAAAAACGAACCGTTTTTGCTGCCTATGTAGTAGTTGAGACATCCACAAACACGTTCTGAAATGAATGACTGAAAAGTGCATTGTGTAACTTTACTGATGGAGAGTCCGCCACCTGCTTGTTTATATGTATATGTCATTGCTCTACCTGGAATGTTCCAAAGTATTACATTAAACAGCTCTACTTTACTCACTACTTTATTCAGTTAGAAGTGGTTTTATAGCTCAGAAATACCTAGAAAAACAGGCATTCTGACTGAGCGAGGTCGCCTCTCCACAGATCTGACCTGTAACTTGGTCTGGTTTGGTCTCCATGGTGATAGAAAGGTCACTGAAAACTGTCCACCCCCACCAACTACAACAAATAAGTTTTAGGAATAGCAGCTGGTGGCAAAATTGTAGTGTAGCCTTGTTATTATTAAAATTCTTAAATTTCAACAAAATTTCAACAATTTCTGAATGCGTAAATGGCATGTTTTTACAGTTTTTCTTTATTTTTCTTAACAATCAAAAAACAATTTCTGGTAACCCAAATTAACAAGACACTTAAGTTCAAGCAGTTGTTGGCCCTTCGTATTTGTTCACTTTTAATGACCACATAATTAGTCTCCAAATGAACCAGCAGCCAATTATTTCCAAACAATTATTCACAAAACAAAATTTGAATCTTGTAAAAATGCGTTCCACCTTGGTATTTAAAAAGCGCTCCCAAGGTTATCCCATGACCTTGTGTTCCTGGAGCAGACAGTGTATGCTAATTCGGGCTCGTGGAAGGTGGACTTTGGAGGAACGAAGAGCTCCTAAGTTGCAAATTAGACGCTAGTGTCAAAGAAGTCAGCGCGATTTAAATAATGGTTCCCGGCGGTGCACGTTTCCGGGGGACCGTGCCAGGAGTCGGGCCAAAACAAAATCAAAAGGCAACTCAATTAACAAGTGTCCCATCGCGAGGGACGAGGCATTCTTTTTGGTATGAAGGGCAAAACAAGACTGCACTTTCATTGTTATAAAAGAGACTTGTGCGAGCTAATGTATTATTGTTAACTCTGAAATGGTTGTACAGAGAGACTTGTTTGATCAACCAGTTCTTTTGGCATTCAATTCAAATCCAGAAGGGACTAAGACTGGACCAAAGAGCGTGAAAAAACTCAGTCCAAACTTGAGACGGTCCAACCACAGCTGCTCAATTGTAGCACGTGACTCTCAAATGTGGAAGCCGTCTCCTCTCGAAAATTCTTCGTAACACTCAGAACAAAATATATAACTGCTTTTACCTGACATAACTACCATATTTTTCTAACTATAAGTCACACTTTTTTTCATGGTTTGGGTGTTTCCTGCGACTTATACTAAAGTGCGACTTATATATTAACATTTTCAGACTGGCCATGAGAGGGCGCTCTAGGCTTGTGTTTTCTGAGCATGTCTCCTGCAAAAAAAAGCTGCTATCCTGCTGCAACTAGTGAAATATTCAGCTGAAAATGGTAATCGAGCAGCAGAAATAAAGTTTGGAGAGAGTGAGGAACTTGTGAGGGACTGGGGAAAAGTGGGAATGGAGAACACAGCAATCAGACGGGTGCCATGCAACTTTCCTGGAAGTCACTGAATGGATCGACAAAGCCTGAACTTCAGTGACAATCGAAACCATCCTGTTGGGATTCAGAAAGGCCCAAATAATTCTAACTGGAACTGATGCTGAGTCTGATGACGGTTACGCAGAATAGGAAGCGGGTCTCCGTTTACCTCTGGAAGTAGCGGAGTTGCTCAGTGACATTGAGGAAGAAGAATTCAATGGATTTAGTGATTTGGAGTGAGGTGGAGTGTTTGGTAAACTTATGTTCTTTTATTTATGCTATAGTTTTCTGAATAACTGTTAATATGTTATGTTCACATACCAGACGCCTATTCAGTCTGTTGTTCTCTGTTCTATTGTTATTACTAGAACTTGACTTTCAAGATGAAATGTCGGTTCTTAGTCTCTGATTTTATAAAAAAAAGCGCAATTTATTTCAATTCAACTTATATATGTTTTTTTCTTCTTCATTACGCATTTTTTGCTGATGCAACTTATACTAGTCAAAAAAATAAGGTAATAGTTTGGTTTCTAGACCAGCCAGTCCCTTCGACATTCTGTTTGAATGAAGTAGGGACTGGGACCGGACCACAGAGGGTGAAAAACCTCTGTCCAAACTTGAGACAGAAGCCATCTCCTCTCAAAAATTCTTGTAACATTCAGAGCAAAATCTAACTTTTTTTTTTAACCTGAGATAAGTCATAGTTTGGTGTTTGTTTTTCATGCGTCTCTCTGATTGGTTAACCTGCCTGTCAATCACACCCTCTAAGATCGCGGAGAAAAGACACAGCTCCATCTCCACTTGTCTTTGCAAAGTTTTGAGAAAGCGCGTGGTTCTGGCTGACCAGGTAACAAAAACACAGCAAGTACAAGCTCTTAATTCAAACGAAACGCGAGCAAATCTAGTTGGAGCGCAGAGGAGGACTGATGCAAAACATGGCTGACACAATATCGCGTTTGGGATTGCGGTGTTTCATTTTTCATTGTTCGCAGCAGCATTTTAGATTGTGTCCTTGGGAAAGTCACACGCAGCCAGATACAAAAGAACAGACTTTGAGGAGTTCAGAGGTTTTGTCAAACTTCTGGTGGTGGAATAACTCTGAGCTCTGAGTTATTGGCAGGCAAAACAATAAATGATGCTGACAATAGAGGTTGGTTGTAAAATTTCATTTGATAAAGTGCTTTTCGGAGTAGTTTTGTGACATCATACTTGAGTAATATATTTGACAGTATAGCAGTACTCTTACTTGAGTAAAAGTTTTGGTTCCTCTTCACACTGTGACAAAAGTTTCATGTTGACCATATGAAATGATTTGAACACTTGTGTTTCGCTCCTTCAGATATGATTTAGGTTCTCAAATTTTTGTGGTCTTTGAAAATACTGGATATTGTGGATTATTTAAAACTTTATCATTCTAATTACACTAACTTCAAACTATAAATCTGATGTTACAAAAACACAGTTACTCCCTTTTACTCCTAAATCAGAATTTTTACTCTTAAGCCAGTATTAACTTTAATAAAAGTTAGAGTAAAAGTTTTGGTTCCTCTTCCCGCTGTAACAAAAGCTTCATGTTGACAATATGAATGTGTTTCTTGCACTGCTCCTTCAGATATGATTTAGGTTCTCAAATGTTTGTGGTCTTTCAAAGTACCAGATTTTGTGCATTATTTCTAATTATACTAACCACAAACTATAAATCTGATGTTACAAAAACACAGTTACTCCCTTTTACTCCTAAATCAGTATTTTTTACTCTTAAATCAGTATTAACTTTGTAGTACTTGAGTAATAGTCTTTTGAAATGACAGCACATAATTGGCGTGGTGGTTTCAGTAGTTCTACAAAAGACAGTAGATTATGTTGTGGTTGAATTTCTGTTTGATTCATAGTTTGGTAGTACAATTGGTAGTACTTTCCGGAGTAGCTTCCTCTATACTTTTACTCCTACTTGACTAATATAGATTATTTGACAGTGTAAAAGTACTCTTACTTGAGTAAAAGTTTCGGTTCCTCTTCCCATTATGACAAAAACTTCATGTTGACGTCTCTATCTTGCCAGGTTTTTACTGCTTGTTCACTGGACTGCTAAATGTTGTTGTTTTAAATATATATTTTTTTTTAACATTGCTTATTTATTATTGTTTTTATCTCTTTCTGGATCACTGGGCCTCGGGGAGCACATTTCGTCCTGTCATGTGTTTCTCTCACATGTTTGAATGACAAATAAAGAACCTTGATGACACGAACGACACGAATGATTTGAACATTTGTGTTTCTCGCAGCGCTCCTTCAGATATGATTTAGTTTCTCAATTGTTTGTGGTTTTTGAAAATACTGGATTTTGTGATTTACCGTTTTTATCCTTCTAATTACTCTAACTTCATACTACAAGCCTGACTTACTCTTACTTGAGTAGTATTTTCCTTTTTACTCCTAAATCAGTGTTAACTTTGTACTACTTGGGCGACAGTCGTTTTCAGGCGGTTTCAGTAGTTCTACAAAAGACAATAGAATTATGTTGTGGTTGGTTTATGTCGTTTTATGCACAGGTCGGTAGTACAGTACATATGCTAAAGTACTTGATACATATGATACAG